GACCGAGACTGTCCTCGAACTGGCAACCTTCCGATTACAAGGCGAACTCCCAACTCTTGAACCACAATCGCCCTATTATATTTATATATAAAAATGATTGGATTGTATCAAATAAAACATCAATCAACCATAAATATCATATCAACCATATATCAAACCTCAAATACATCAATTAAGAATACAAAATAGAAAAAAACAACAACAGCAAAAACCCAGACCAAATCCTGATGACCATGAATCCATAAATGGCAATGACATTATCTTATATTTTCTGCTTACAAAAAAGATATGGCATTATATATTCTTATTGTACTATTATTTTTGTTCCTATGTTGAGAGAGCTGCAAGAACACTGATGAATTACTTTCACTTCAACCCTTTCTGACTTTGGTGTCCTATTTAAAGTACAAAAACAAGAATGCATCTGTAATCAAAATACGAAATACATCTCATCTGTTATTTAGAAGTCTGTTGAGTATGATGTCTTTTTTGAGAACATTTCCTTTTTTATAACAGATTTGATGTTAGTTTTTACTAAAATTGAGTCATTTTTAAAAAAATTAATCTAACAACAACAAACAAATATATATATAAAAATACATATATACTTTTTAAGAATTAAAAGTAAAGAAGGTGGCCCTGACTGCATTCATTGCAGCCACAGGCACTGCTGTTTCATTTTTTGGGGGGTACTGTTGCCACGGATACAACAACAAACATCCACATAAACTGCAGAGCCACTTTCTTACCAACATATCAGCCAAGTCTACAAGAGAACAAGGAGTGTGTGAAGTCCGGAAAGGCAAGCTCCTCTTTCAGCTACAAGAGCGACTGTGCATGTTTGCATCCACATGACTGAGAGTTTTGGTTTTGATTTGGTTTTTTTCTGATATTTGTACTTCTGCTATCAAAGATGCCAATTGCATCTGGAGCTGCAGGCAGGGTGGATGTAGGAATAGACACAAGCAAAACATGGACACCACAAGGACTGAAAAGGAAAACAAATTCTACCCACAGAAAAAACGACTCCTATCTGCAAAGGTGAGATTACTACAGATAGTGATCAAATGTAACTGCATCTTTTTAAATATGCTTGATCAACAACATTTATAGCCTCGTCTGAAGACAAATCACTGGACAAAACTGTGACTATTTCATCATTAGATGAAATTGTGTTATTGTTTAACACAAACTGAACAGCAGTACTTTATAATACAGCAACTTAAGATGTTTTTGCTGTGAAACTGCAACTGTATTCGTCATTCGTCTGTCTTACAAATGAATACTCTGCATATACTGCTGGTTTTATTTGTCTGGTTTTATGAAGACCAGCTGGCTCATGTTAGAGGCAAGACTGCTCTTAATGGAATAACCATTGCATTAAACTATGTTGTACTGTAGACCTGCTGGCCTTTATTGCTAGGAGATAAAGGCACCCTAATTTAACTCTGTCCATTTGAATCAACAGCAACCTGTTTGTCATCCGAACTGGGCAGAGGAGACGCAGATGTTTGACACTAATTCCACTCATAAATATTTCACCATCCCGTTTTTTTTTCCAAACCGGGTTACAAAAAGAAGAGACAAAAAGACTTGAAAGCTGTGACACACAGTTAAATCATTTTTTATTTGGACAGTGAGCGTTTTTGTAGTTTTACCTCTGTACCACACCAAAGGACATTTTAATTCAACCAATCAAAACGAAGATTCTTTTACTCAATAGTTAAGATCAATTTAACATTAGCTATTTAGAAATCACAGCCATATTATACATAGTATCCCATTTTCATAGGTTTAAAATGAGTTTGACAAACAAATATAGTTTTATACATAAAGACTGGTTTTGATACTTGGCTGAAAATCCTTTGCACTCACCGACTGTAAGTCTAGAAACCATGGACATCACCAAATGCTGTATTTCCTCCCTTGAGATGCTCTTTTCTTTTTCTGCAGTCACTTATAGTTGTTCCTTGTTTGTTGGCCTTTCTGCCTTCAGCTTTGCATTTTTTATAACTGAAAAGCTGCTCTACTAGGTTCAGATCAGGTAACTGACTTCTTAGCCTTTCTTTGCTTTGAGAAACTCTTGGTTTGCTTTTGCCGTTTGCTTTAGGTAATTGTCCATTTGCACTGTGAAGCACACTCTGATCAGTTTGCAGCATCGTCACATGCTCACCTAACCTATAAACACCAATAACCCAGTTCCACTGGCACATCTCCATAATTTCTCATTATTTTTGTACAAGTTCATCTTGGTTTCCAAAGATTTTATTTTTTCCAGAATTGTGCATTTAGCAGTTTTTTTGGTTTTCTTAGTCTAACCAGTGGCTGTTGATTGTAGACTTTGACAATATCGCACCTACCTCCCCCAGTTTGTTCTTGGCTTGTCTAGATGTTTCAAAGCTGTTTTCATAATAATTCTGTCATTGTGCACTTCAGTTGTCTTCTGTGGTCTTTTAACCCTTTCGGTGTTGCTGAGCTGGCCAGAGGATTTCTTCTTTTTAAGAAACTTTGTACACATTGGCGATTTGGCCATTAAAGGCTTTTTTTCACCTACACCAACATTTGTGTTAAGCTTATATTGAGAGTTCCAGTGAAACAAATACAAGTTTAGCACATGGAATTAACTCCAGCTATTTTATCTGCTCCAGTTTTCATAAATTATGGCAACAGACCTTGCAAGATCACAAAACTGTGTCTGAGTGTCTGAAAAGGAAGGACCATGTATAAAAATAGCTGTATATTAACTGCGTTAAGGGTCTTGGTTAACCCCTTGAATGAAAACAAGAATATTCTTATCTGAATACTTATGGACCAAACTATAAAACACAAAGTCATTCATCTGACTACAGAGTTTCTTAGCTATGATTTCTACTTTGTCATTAATACTTGCAGATATCAGGAACTCAAAGCACAACAGAGAAAAGGGGACTCCTTGCAGGTGAGTACTTTCATCAGTCAAAGGCCGACTGGTTTAAAGGTTTTCAGACAGAATTTCATTGATTCAAACTTGTTTTTAAACAGAGCACTCAGGACAAATCAGAACCCAGCGATCACAAAAATGATGGTGAGATCATTGACAGTTTGACAAACAAACAGAAAATATCAGGACACGCAACATTCAAAAAGTCTCCCTAAAACAAATGCTTCTTCAATCTGCTTTAAGGGTCCAAAGAGGAAGTCCCAGAGAAAAATGGAAGCCATGAGGATGAAATTTCAGAAAAACCATCCAGTGAGAAGCCATCTAAAAAGTCTGTTCTGTGCGTTATACTGTGAAGCAGTTACAGCTCATGTTGTCATTAAATGAACTGGACTGTCACGCACAACAACGTTAACATTCATTATTCAAGTGTCAAACTCGTGGGCTTTTTTTTGAAAAGCAGACGAGGTCAAATTTCCCTTTTGAAGAACAAATGCTAAGCTGCTGTCAGTTTTGAACTCAAATGTGTTTGTTCGTTCAAGCTGACTGAGAACTAGCACGGTTTGGTAGTTATCGGCGTGAATTCTTTTGCAGTATTACACGGCAACACCTGAATTCATTTGTATAGTACAACATTTGTACCATGGGCTTTTGACATGTAGACAAACAAACAAACCAAAAAACACAACAAGTAGAACACATTTAAGTCGACAAATTACACATTCATCAAGCCAGTTTTTTTAAACCAGTGGCTCATCGGCAATCACACATTTCACATCAGTAAACACTGTGCTCAGTAGTTTGGGGTCACTTAATGCGTCTTTGTTTCTGAGACAAAAAAAAAATGCTTGTTTTCATCTAATATGAAATGTTGATGAAAAGGTTGTAGAATCAGGAGAATTTAAAATCATAACTTATGATTGCAGCAATGTTGTTCATGTATTACAAACACACTGCTACCTACCACAAATGTATCAAATTTATCATGTTAGCACAGCTGAAAACTGTTGTACCCTTTAAAGAAGCAGTTTAGTTGGTTTATTGAGTGCATGAAGCTTTGTTGCATTATAGTTTTTAAAATCCTAAAGTTGTTTTACTGGACGTGTTTGAGACTATGATCAAACCGACAGGTGCTGTTGCTCCATACACTTAATGCTTCTGTAATCAGTGGGGGGAAAAAATAATCAGTTAGCCTTTTCATATGTTGAACTCGCATTATTTAAATCAATGTGCCACTGGAACACTGCAGTAATCATTGCTGAAACAAAATGTCTCTGTATTTTCTAAAAAATAAAAAATATAGAACATGCTGTGTGACCCCAAACTCTTTTTTAAAGCAGCAGTAAACACAGTTCCTCATAATGTTCAATATTGCACTTGTGTTATCTATGAATCACTGAGACTTCCCTCTCTTTAGCTGTACCTAAGTTTTCACAGTTTTTTTAAATCTACTGTTGTGCTTTCCCAGTCAGTTACAGCCAGAGAGAAAACACTGGAGGACCACTGCATTTTTTTTCCCCAGTAGATATTCTCCAACACAAGACAAGGCCTTTGTTTGACTGAGGATCTCAGTCGCTGTTGCTGCTGCTGTCATCTCTCACCACCATGTTGCTGTACTTCTTCTGCTGCTGCTCTTTGAATGTCTCCTTCACCTTTGCCCTCTTGAGGCCTCCATCCCTGCATGCAGACAGAACTAAACGATTATTCAGTGTCATACGTTTCCCTATGGCCAGGTCATAAAAAAACAAAAAACAAAAAAAGAGCTGACTGACACTTGATTAGCATTCAGACAAAGGACTACATCTTTCTCTGTTACTCTTGTCTGTGAAATCATTAAATTAGAATCACTTTAAAAGGGATGAGGTAAGAGCTTACCATTGCAGATCTACCAGCCCTCCCTGGTGAGCGATGGCTGACTTCACTCTGTTGGCAAACTGGACAGCATCTTCACCCTCCTGACATTTTTTGGGGGAAATAAAACTGTGTGAATCCGTTTATTGTCACAAATTAAAGCAGTTTTATTATAAAGACTAAAGACCAACAGTCAATTTAAGCAAGTTAAAGTCTCAAGAAAACAAATGTGATCCGAGTTAAAGTCCTCCTAAGTCTATACAGATATGTACATAGACTTCATTCATCACATGTTACACACACCTGTTGGTGCATGGCTGGCAGGTACCAGACATTGCATACAAGGGCCCAGCTGGTCATCATCCTCAGCAGGTAACTGACCATGCTGTGCTTGGAACTGTTCCAGAAAGCATCTCCAAACTTTGGGTCATACTAGGAAAAGTTTAAAAAGCACAGAGACAAGCATTAAGTAGCAGAAATGTGTGACCTAAAGGGCTCAAATATATATGACTGAGAGATGAAGGAGGAATGCTAGACTGGGCTGAAGTACCTTAATGGCGACTGGGTATATTGTTGTTCCAATTTCAAAACTTCCCTTTTTAAACATCATGACAGATGTGTTGTTAATACAAGTTCCTATAGAAACAGGAGATTAAACAGACAGCTGTGTGAGCTTCTTCCAAACCCACATAGAAAATATCTGCTCGTGTGTCACAGCTCAGTGGCCAGACTGCCATCAGACACGGAGCTAAAATAACAGCTCTCACTCAGGCTTTTCTTTGATGATACAAAGATCAAACTGCAGTGGATAAAGTAACTTTATCTGTCTACTTGGTGACGCTTACCCTCTGGAAATATCAATATAGGAAGCTTTTTTTTGTCGTTCACATGGTCTTTCAACCTGGAAACAACAGAACAGGTAATAGAAACCATTTATAAATACACACAATAAAAAATACATTCAACAATTAGAATGAGTGCCTTATTGAGAAGGGATTAAAGTAAAGAGACTGGAATCTAAACTGCAGTGAATCCAGCATCAGCGTTCCAAAACATACTCGTTCTTGTTTTGACGATAATACGTTTCTACTTCCAAGCAAAAGACCTGAAAGAAACGTGTTGAAGTGAGGGAGTGAAATATGAACCTTTTGGTCACTAGATGGCGATCTTTCATCTCTGACCTCTCAAACCAGACATGAGGACAGGATCTCACCATGGCTCTCTGAATAATTCCCATCAGGCCTCCATGGACCTGACCCACCTAGGAAACACATAATGCAAAGAAATTGTTTTACAACAAATCAGTTTCTTTATATGTAAAACTCCAAATAAGTTGATTTGAGGGTGACTTCTTTGCATACCATAGCATAGCAGCCATCTGTGCACAGAATCACAATGTCGATCGGAGAAGTATGATTGGCAACACAGATTCCTCCTTTTTTGGGTTTATTTTCCCTGCAGAGGAAATGACAACACTGAAATCAAAGACAAAGGGTAAAACCAGTCTTTTTTAAGGATGTGGTACATAACAGGAAAGCATTTGTACCTGTTGTGATAGCGAATCGTGGCAGAGAGTCCTCGAGCACAGATTCTGTAGCACATCACGTGGACCAACTCACTGAGCCAGAACTTTATCCTAAAAATAAATATTTACAAGGAAAAAAAATGACACATTGTTGAGAAAAGATTTCCATTATAGTACTTTTTCTAATGTATAAGATAAAAAAAACAAAACATTTTTAGTCACCTCCAGTTTGGAAGCAATCCAACTGCAGATGTTCCTATTACCAACCAGCTAACACCGATGATGGTCAACGTTATTCTGGAGAGAGAGTGACACATTTCACCTTCAAGCAGCAGGTCAGTTGGAGTTTAGAGTTTTTATTGAAACTTAACAGAAATATAAATTACTGCATGTTATGTAAAAAATGAATTTGAATTGCATATTTTTATTGCACATTTTTATGGCATTAACTTCTTCCTCTCATACAGCTTGCAATTTTTTCAGTAGGTTTTAACTCAGTTGAGATCATTTTTAACACAACCAGGTGAGTCTTGACTCTGTCTTCCACATTGCTTCTCTGTGGAGGAAAGAGTAAATTTGGGGTGGGTGGACTCTGCAGTATTTTTCTACCTGAGGGGGGCAAGGATGCAGTATCTCACAATGATGCCAAGGCCATAGACCAGCGTCAGCTTCAGACTTATGTACTGGAAATCATTGTTGGTGCGAGTCAGTAAGTTCCAGGACACCAGCTCCTCAGAAGTGAACCGCTGGGTCACCTGATTTTAAAATAGAAAGTTGACAAACATGACTAAAACATTTTCATTTTAAAATTAAAACCAAGGTTTGCAGATGTGTTAATAAAAAAATGTACCTCATCATCTACAATACTCTCAATCCCTTGTCGGGTGAAATAGAAACAGTCACTTAGTGTAAAATCACCACCCACTGGTGGTTTTGGGCGACTTCGTCGAAGTTCCTCGAGCTCCTTCTCCATTGATCCATTTTCCCTTTGGATGAGACCTGACACACATGCAAACACACACACAGACACGCAGACACACGCAGTGATGCAATTAAACTAGCTGATATGATTTTTTTATATTAGTAACAATCACATAGATAAGTCAGCCTTGGCAAATGTCTTAAGGCAATGTTAGGGTTAGAAGATTAAAGAATGTGTCAGGGAGTTCAATCGGGAATGTTGTTCCTGGAAGAGCATTATGTGCTGCACTTTGACAAAACGCATTAAAAAACAACAACAACAAAACATGAGGACTGAAGCCATTCAGAGCATTAACTCAAGATAAAATTCTTTAAAAAGAACAGAACTGAATCTACATCACCTCAGTGTTATATGGCACAACAGGCAGGCATGTAATACTTTTAGTGATAAGATACTGTATCTGGAGTTCTCATCATAGAAGGGACTTTACAAGAAAGAGCAACTCAATTTATGAAATGTGTCGCCTAAAACATGTCCTTAAACGTTCTTACTTGTTTTTGCTTGCAGTCTTTATTAATAATGGTCATACTGAACAGACTGTAAGGCAAACAGGTCTGAGAACAGTTTAAAAACAGCCTCAGCTTGGATCCACATTACCTCATATCTCAGCAGGCAAAGTCCAGAACCTACACTAACACGCGCCGTATTCACTCAAAACATTCAGTACAATGTCTGCCCTGTTTCTGTTCTTCAGGGACTTTTACTTCTTGCACTCATTGCTCATGTTAAAAATGTTCGGCTCACACACTTGGAACTTTGGAGAGAGCAATTTTTGCTGACCAAACTGTCTTTCTGTGCTCCAGCATGGGAAACCATCCTGTGAAGCTTGGAGATTGATAAAGAGTTTATTTATTGCATCTTGTGAGATAAGACAAGGTTCCCAGAGCAACTTTACTTATTACCTATCATAAAGGTTACTGAGCCTCAGCGCCACAAAGAGACTTTTTGGTGAAAAATTAGCTGTAGTATGGTAGAAAATATGAACATTTTTCCTTAAGACACAGCAAGTTTTGCTCCGTGAGTATTTTATATGCATGCATTTTTAAAAAAGGCCACTTTAAAGGTAAATCAGTCTATTTTTTATAATGTGGCCATATCATTGCAACATGCCAGCACAGACTTATGATGAAGTATCTGATGAAATCTCATATTGCAGCAGACGCAAAGCTTTCCTTAAACCAAAGTTTCACAATAAGGGATATGACATCAAGTTATCTGTAAAAGAGTGCCCCTGCCTCATTTTCTTTAGATCTATCAATCAAATTTCTTTCTACTTACCATTAGATGAGGAGGGTTTGAGTGTTCCTTCATCTGAATTTGCTTTCTGTATATTCAGAGTGGCCCACTGTGGAGAACAGACAGCATATATTAATGGCCAAGAATCAAAATATATCCACCTGCTTAAAGCATATTAACCTATGAGGGACATAAGAATTACGTGTGTTAGTACCTCCAAGGTTTTCACCAGTATGGTCATGTAGATCTCGGAAATGCCCAGTGAGAATCCAAACATGGATGGGATCATGATGAGGATGATTACGAGGTACAGCCAAATCTTCAGTGCCCAAAGGGCTCCCGCCCAGAAATCGTCCATCTCTACTTTATTCCCTGAGTTAAACAAGAGCAGCCCGGTGGCTCAGCTGCATGAGAACAAAGGGGGGAAAGAAAGACTTCACTTTCCTTTCTTTACTTCTTAGACAACGTGGAAACATGTAATCATAACAAGGGGGGGGGGGGGTGAAAAAGACAAACGAAACGCTGAAAGACTCCGGGTCACACTACACGGTACAGGTACACACTGATCCCACGTACAAAAACAATGGCGATCAATAGCACATGTAATCCTTCCAATATAAACAAATCCACAAACTCTGACAGAGCTCCTCTATACTTTAACTACACAGCTACATTTATCCTGTTTCAGATTGTACGAGATCAACTTACCTGTCAAACATTAGTCCATTTCCTTTCCTACAGCGGGTAATTTAAGAGACTGAACACACACAGAGCAAACACGCCCATTTACTTACTAGAACAAAGTTCATGACCTACAGCGCCTTCCTGTGGACATCTTTGGACACTATCAAAAAGACTGAGGTCTACAGGTTTGATTCATAAAAACTTTTGTATTTTAGTCCATAGGAAGACGTAGTCAAACGTAGACCAAACTAACTACTATGCTATACTATACAAACTAGTTACTATACAAGTTGACCCTGCTAGGATCACATTTGAAAATACTTTTTGGAGACGTGTTATTTTTGGATGAGTCTGAGCCAGAGGAAGCACTCAAAGCAAATGCCACTAAGGTTGAGTTAAAGTATGTAGATGGAAGCTGCTTCTTATAATACTGAACTTGTATTTACTGATCGTATCATAATTTTTTTAATTTTAAGAAGTAAAGCGTTGTTAAAAATGTAAAAAACAAAACAAACAAAAAAAAACACTGTTTGAAAACCGAAAGTTGCTCTTTCATATTTGCCAAGCCTCCGTATATATCAGGCATCCAGGTTGTTTAAAGCTGACATAATTGACTGAAGCGTGAAGAGAATCAGTAATATTAATAAAATGCCTCAGACAACTCACCAGAACACAGGAAAGCCTTAATGAGGAATGTGGCAACAGTCTCTGTGTGGCAGAGCCTCCCTCTCTGACCTAAAACTAACAAAAGGTCCTGATTATTTTCTAGGTTCAGACATTTCACAGTCTGTTGCTCATTACTGTAACAGGGGACTTAAGGGGGGCGGTTTGGGTAACGTCTCTGGGAATGATAAGAGGTTCACTTCATCCTTCTCTGAATGGCGTTCAGTTCATTATGAGAGCTTTCTGCACTACAGCGTTGAAGCTTCGTAAAGATCAATTTTCAAAAGACAGCTGGCTACAGAGAGACACACAGATATTGTGCCATACAGTCTTTAGATTCATTGCAAAATGTTTGGACCTTTTAAACATTTTAAATCTTTGATTGATTACACTGTTTATTGTTAATGAATCAAACAAACTGCTCAGGCTTGAGACTCCAGATGTGTAGTGAAACTCCTGTCAACAACACATTGTTTGCCCTTTATTGGGTGTGTTAGTTGCAGCAAGGCAGTGCCTGTTAGTATGAACGAGCTCATTTTTATTGTAAGTCTCAACACAGACAGCTCACCTCGTGTTTCAAGGTGGTTTTACTGGGTCCTGTTATTGGACCTCCCCAGTGGTGCCCATTAGTGCTGCTGTTGTTGTTGTTGGTTTTTGGTAGAAGAAGAGGAATGTTCCATATATTCTGTATGGAACTGTGTGCTATCTATTGTTTGAAAAGTCTTATTTCAAGACCTAAGTTTTCCAAGATTATCTCCTTTCAGTTCTAATATATACTTGATGGAGATGGAAAAAAATCTATGCATTAATTATTTAAAGTCACTCCCCTGTAAACCAGCTAGAAGATAAGTCGGTGGTAGCCCCACAAGCCTTCTCTTGTGCTTTATATAGATGAATAAAAAGGATAACACTGATGAAATCAGATGAGTTCACTTTGTCTCCCTCTGTGTCTCCTATGTACAAAGGCAACCCGGGTGGCAATGTGTCATGTCTCAGTAATCTTTTAGTCACACATAAGTCTCCACCAGGGATAAATAGTAGACACCACACAAGTATGCGGTAAGAACTGTGGCTTTAAGGCTCTCTTTAAGAGGATATATCCAAAGTTCTTAAAGAAACCTCATATCTTTTAAGCGTCAGAAAAGCTAAAGGTTAATTTCCTTGAATTCAGTACATCCTGCACACAGGACATCAATGAATAAAAACTTTGAAAGAATACAGCTGAAAGCCAAGCAGTTCAAAGAACACTGTTGCCATTGCAACTTGATCTAATCACGATGAAGGTTAAAAGTATCCGTCCATCCAGACGCTAGTGTAGATGAATCACTGCAAAGAAATTTCACGTCTAAAAGAGCGTCTGAAGGTGCCTTCCTTCTATAATAAACTTTTGAACAGTGAATGAGATGAGTCGCCCCCTGCTGGCTATGAGAAAAAAGGGCAAGTTTTAGACAATCCGGGATTGCACACTTCTTTTTTTTTAATTTTTTTTTTTTTACATAGGTTAGTCTCTGGATGTTTGAGAGTGGGCGAAATAAAGACCGGAGCATTAAATAATCTAGAATTCATTTGTTCAGTAAAACAAGCGGGCTCATTTAAATATATTTTCCACACAGCTTGACAGTGGAGCGATCCCGCTCATAACGCCGATTGGTTAATCGTTCATCTTTCACCACGCCCACTCACGGACACTTATTTTTAATAATTAAGAAACCAACGTTTCACATAACATTATCACGTCATTCAACCTAGTGAGGTGGACAGTTGGTTGATAGGGTCAAGGCCAACACATATGCCTATAAATATAAACTAATACGTAACTATACTGAGCTAATTCATTTTTACAATCTTCAAAGCACAGCACAGTATTCCTCCTTTGTTAGCAGGGCTTTGATTTTTGAATGACAGGTATTTAGTCTTATCATGGAGCCAAAAAACGGGATGATGGACTTCGTGCGTGCACGTTTGCACATCTTTGCAAAGCTGTAGAAAACTCTGCAAACTTTTAACGCCCATGTACTAGTGATTATGCCACTGGTAAAGGCTGACTGTAGCGTACACAAATGCAAACAACAGTTTTGATTGCTAGAGCTGCTGGATTTAAACCGATGCAAGCAACAGTCCATTAATTTTATTTGCGCGTCGAGTCGCATTAATGATGCGCCATCTGCGGCGCAGGAGACAAGTCTCGACACAGGGCGAACCGGGCTACTCTCTGAAGCTTGTTCTTCTGCGGTAGCTTCTTGTTCTGCTCCCTCTGCTCCCCCTCACTCCTGCAAGGAAAAAAGACACTGGTCCAAAGAACACTCCTCCCCTCCTTCCTCCACAGAGACTTTGCTTTCTCCCTCTTTAAACCATGATCTGGCTCCCAGCTTTCCTCGGCGCATGTTTCCCCTCTGAGCTTGCTCGTGTCATGACACAGTGCAGCGAAGGGTCGCAGTGGTCCCCTCTAACGCCACGGGAACCCCAAAGACGTGGGGTTTGAGTTTGGTTACATGAAATATGCCATGTTCGCAGGACTGCACGGTTCTTTTTCTGCTGCACTTTGTTTTGAGTTTGGCAGCTGGCCACGAAGGGCTCTCAGTCTCTGGCAGTCTCCTCTCCTTCTTTGCAGAACAAGGTCAGTGTGCTGTGGTGCAATTCTGTGCATGGCCCGACTAAGTGCATGACTAGAACAATTTGTATCGTTAAGTGCATATCACAGTCAGTATGCACTGAAGGTAAAAGGTCTGTATAACCTGTGTTTAAACTCTGTTTTGTAGGTCAGTTGTCAGAGTCAGAACTGTCCATTGTCCACCCAGTGAAAACCGGCGCAGATGGAGGATTCATCTCCCACTCTTTGTCTCACCACTTTAATGGTGGGAGAATCAGGCGAGACTTACAGTCCCATTCTCAAGATAAACAGGTTTACTACAAGGTCATCTTCAAGGGAAAAACCTTAATATTCAATTTGACTGCAAACAATCACCTGGTTTCAAATGACTACATCCTGGAGAGCAGGAATGGCAGTGCCAACAGGACTGAGCATCGTCTTTCTGATGGAAATTCTTGCCACCTTCTTGGCACCGTGGAAGCGTCTGATGTGCGAGGAACTGCTGCCATCAGCACCTGCAGTGGGCTGGTAAGGTGTCACAGTGTTTTATAGCTGTAAAGGTAATTTTATTCTCACTCTCATTCATCAAATTGAGCTGGTGGATGCTTGTGTTTAAATCAACATGTTTTTATCATGATTTTTTTTAATTACACCAGATAGCAGCTATCACTATGGGTATACTGGTATGCGGTTTAGGCAACTCCTCCATCTGACAGTGCCCTGTCTGTTAGTTTGCTCTTCAGAGACTTCCCGACACTGTTTGCTGAAGGACTGTGCTGCAGACCTTCTGACGACTGCTGCTTCTCAGACTGACATGAGACCCTTTCCGTCTTCCTTGTGGTTCAGATTTTTTTGTCTTCTTTCACCCTCACTCACTCATTCAGAAATTTGCAATCATGGATTATCTGTTCCTTTAGAGACACTTTGCAAACGCCAACAGGATGTGAGAAAGTTTCAGTAATAGATCTTGGCACATTCTTGTGCGTGAGTGGAGCAGTAAAGTTTGACAGATGGACAGATTTTTTTAAAACTTGGGCTATAGTGTTTCTGTTCAAATAAGCAGTTTAACTACAAAACAGAGAGGACACCTGGAAAAAAAAAATCAGAGTGATCCAATATATGAAGAAATATTTTTTTAAATACAACGTGAACAATTTGTGGTTCACTGATTTCCAAGAATTTTTAAGTTGTAATCCATCCATTCAGCATACAATCTTATTTCAAAATGCACTCTGGGGTTTTTGTTTACACAATATTACAACATTTTGAAAAGGCTAAAAAGTACGAGTATGTAGAAGAGGATGAACTTCCTGCCTTTGAAATGATAGGATGTGTCACTTTTAGTCACAAAGAATGTTTCAGTGTTCATGTTTGATTGTGTCACAGCAGGAATTCCACTCCTGCAGGGTCTTGCCTCCTGCCTCTGTGCTATGTGTGTGTGGGTTTCCCTGCATGTTTACACAGTTCATTTGTAACATGTGACTCAGGACGAGACCAGAATGACAGCCAACCTAGCAACATAATTTATATCTGACCCATTTCACAGCCGCTCATATAATCCTAGAAGGAAAAATGTGTTGCGTCACTCAAAAATCCACATATCTGCAGCCTAATGGCGTTCTGGGGATTTTCCTGCAACACAGAATTCCCCAGTTAGTCCCTTCACTCCAACCTATGAGGGAAACTGCTCTGATTTATTACACAGACTTTCTGTTCTGTGAAAGAAGGTTTATAGCTGCTAAACCCAAACAGAGACCACTAAACAGCTAGACTCAGCCAGACAGATGTGGGAGTGAAGCCCTACCAGCTGCTGCAGGGATTATTCACCCTCACGACACAAGTTGAAATGGACTACTTACAAATAGGAATTCAAAATAAT